GCACCATTTTCTTGGACTATTCGTGCTGTCTTGAATTAAAAATCGATATTGACAACTTTTACACTTCAGAACGAGCAAATCTTGACGACAAGGCACTTTTTTCGAGCACTTCGCAGCTTTAGAACTTGAGTACATGTATGGAATATTTATTTTTGTCACAAAGTACCTCCTCTGTTTSAAGGCAGCGCGTAGCCCCACTAACATTTTCTTGCGGAATGCCATTCACACCCTCTRGTAGTTTGAAATGTGTAGACGTCGTAGATGAAAGGTAGAGATCAGTGCTGTACTTTCTAAGGCGAATGTTCTGAATTTAGTACATTTGCTCACCTTTCACAACTTTGATGTGCTCATTCCAGATTGTTATTGGGATAGACCCATCCTTATCAACGAAACATCCATCCCGCTTTGTCACATTGGTGCTATAGTATGCTAGTATAGTTTTTGCGGATCTTCCTAAGTATCTCTGTAACATTCTAGACAGGATACAKAAACGGGCCTTAGCAATAATTTTTCCTGATGCTAGTTACGATCATGCACTAGCGCAAGCCGATTTGACAACTCTTGAAAGACGTTGATTAKAGGCTTGTATCAAGTTCATCAATAACATTAAACCGGATAATCCTTTGTAGTTTGCATGTAGCCAGGGTCCCTACATATTCCCTAATCCCAGGGTGCGCAATGTCTTAAAACCAGTTCACACAAATTGATTTGCAAATTTCATAATTTATAAGTATGGTGTACAATTGTACTTAATTATTACATTATCGTTTACTGTAATCAACTATGTCAATTCAGTCATCAGACTGCGAAATTAGCTTGAATAAACACATCACTATCATTTTGTTAGTCGCTTTCTAAGAATTCGTCGAAATTTGCGTACTGTCTAACGTACACGACATTCTTTCCAGAAGGATGGTCATTGTACTTGGTATCTTGCATGGTGAACATTCCTCAGRCCTCTTATCGACTTGGTTCTTGTGTTTGACCGGTGAAAAGTGAATAACACACAGCCTTAATCTTAGTGTCCTTTTGCTAGGTCATGACTGAAAAGTAGTCTTGGCATATACTTTTTCCAGGCTCACATCTTGTATGTATCCTACAATATGTAGACCTTGACCATTTGACGTCTGTTCTGAGGTATACCACTTAAACCAGCGATTGGAGAACTTGTCGCTGCATTAATTTAACCTGAGTGAATGATGATCAAGCTTTCAGCTACAGAAATGAACTCTATTAGAATTACTGAACTTCGCAGAAGTGGTATAACAAGTTGGATACGCTTTCTACWTTCCGTTTAATACTAGGACAAGTTGATTTTGCCGCCTTTACATTGCTTGCTTCTTTGACATCTTTAGGACACCTTGTAGAAGTAAGAATGAGGGACTTCCGAACCAAGCACATGGTTTTATGTATTAGCTACTTAAGCTATGTTATTAAGAAATGATTCTGTAAATTTTATTGTAATCTCTGCGATGAGTTTCGAGAAAATTGACTTTGAAGAAAAAAKGTCTTCTTATTTTGCATCATTTATCCAAATGGATTCGKTTTTTTTGGCAAGTTAATTTATCAACAAGAATAATCGATAATCACTGTTACTTCTGTGAAAATTTGAGTGCTATGGAATCGAAATTTGCGACGTAGTTRGAGTTTGAAAATACGCGCGAAGCGCTGTTTATTACGATCGAAACACCTTTAAACACGAGAGAGTACCATGGCCCACAAGGGCAAAACACAAATCAATTTATGAGTAAAGACAAAAGAAAATTTACAGTAACAGAAAAAGATTTCATAATGCAAAACAATCTTTTGCAACACAAAGTAAATTTTCACTGGACACAATAAAGTTTATTGYAACACAACAAAGTTTCGCGAGTCAAAGCAATGTTTCGTACAGCACAACGACGTTTCGCGAGAAATATTCTCGTATAACTCAAGAAAGTTTTGTGAAACACAGTAAATTAAAGTCGCTCAAAGAACGCATGTGGTTACTCGTACAGTACTATACGTACAAAGTGATTAAAATTGATGTTTGAGGAGCGAATGGGTTTTAGTCAATTTCTACTAGCTAGAAATGCGTCGTACAGTTTAATCAGTGATGCGTATAACTTTGGCAGGATCTAAAAGTCCAAATCCTAGCTTCTTTGATTTTGACTTGAAAGGCAAAAATCCTGATCCGAAAAAAAGTGCAGACTTCTGATCTCATGTCACACAAAAATTGTTCAGTGGATTGCAGTTATGAGTGTACATGTAATCAAGATTGGCTAATGGGCGTGTAAGGTGAAAATATAAAATAACAAGGATTTGAACGTATATATACAATTTAATAAACGAAATCGAAACGTATTTACAATATGTAGAGTATTTACATAAATGTGAACAGCTTTCTTGAATTCAACGAATTTGTATTAAAGTTTGATATAAAACTAGTACATATGCAATTTGGATATAACGTTTGATATTCTATTTTTTTGTTAAGTATTCTTTTTAGTTATGTATTTTTTTTTGGACTTTTGTATTAATTCTTCAACGTGTGCTACTTATTTTGATGCTTGTCAATCAAATCCTGATGCTTGAAGGCCTATTTACAATAGCAATTTGGTCGCGCAACAAAATTGCATGCCGCGTCGCGCGACAAAATTGTTAGTGTAAATAGTCCTGGACAAGATTCAATATTTTATATTTTTATGTTGGTAACTATTTTTGTTTT